AGGGAATGCATTTTTACATGCTTTTGAAGTGCTAGGTTGGCAGAAGCTGGGACAAGTAACGGGCGCTCACTCCGTTATGCGGTTCTAGGGATTCGAACTGCCGACCTTTCTGATCGACAAGCTCAGCGTCCCTTACTTGAAAATGTAGACTGTGATATATACATGGATAATATGCAACTCTCTTCTATTAATATTTCTTTCTCTGACTAAATGCAACTTCTCTTACAATAGGCGTTATAAGTGACGATTTAATGTTTAAAATTCTAAAACTGGTCAGGGAATATTTTGCAGTGAAAAAGAAGTACTAAATAAACTATATAACAACATGGTGGAAAATTAGAGACTGCCTTATTACTTTAGTTGCAGCAAAACCAGTGTTTACTGTTTGGAAACAGCATCAACCAATTGTATCAAGTGCAATTAAAAAGTCCCTCTGGCAACAATTTCAATTGCCAACTTTTCTCTCTGTTTTTTCTCTCCATTGAGGCACTAATGCCAGATGAGTGCTAGTAACAACCCACAGCAATGTGCTTATGAAGTAGGTTAGAGATACCATATTCATGTTGGAGTGGCTATAAAAGGTGTTTTTTTTTAAAAAAAAAATGGATCTTCTTTGAGCTACTGGCTGGTACTATAGAGATCAGCGGTGATTGTGGAAAGACAATCATCTTCAAACTGATCTCCTGGGTGGCCAAAGAGGAAGGCACACTTGGTGGTGTGTGACGTACTGAGAGTCACCTGAGATTGTGCAACTAAACGGATCACTTAGAGAGCCAGTGGGAGAGTGGCAATAATTGTTATGTTGGGCTAAGGGCTAGCAATATGCTAATCAGCTGCTGAATAGCCAGCAGTAGTGTCCACAAAAATGGTAGCGTAGCCTAACTTGGTTGTGACTGCAAAAGTGTATTCCGCAAATGCTGATCTCCCAGCAGAGTGGCAACAGGGCTAGTGATTCAGAGATGCCTGATTTGGTGCTTTGGAACATGTGAGCATCACTGAATGGTTGCAAGAGCAGAATCACTTAACTTTGAGTGAAGAGGTAGATCTGCCAACAATTAAGGAGGTAGTAATCTAACTCAAGAAGCCATTGCTGAATTTGATGGTGCCAGACAGTTTTCATACTGCCCTTCAACTTTCCCTTTCTTACCTGGTCAAGCTGTAACTTCAAAGATAAGCTGCTTAGTAGTGACAGCCCCAGTTGTTCCTGCTGACCTCCACTTTCTTTTCCCTCTGTATTCCATTCCTATCCTTCTGCAAGCCAGACAGCATCACACTGGAAAATGGTTGTCTTTGCCAGGTCTCAAAGGAATGGGATATGCAGTTTGGAGAACAACAGGAATCCTGTTTTCGTGTTGCTTTAAAAGGGTCATTCCCCAAGTCACACCTTTCCTTCTTTACATTATGAGGGCTTGCAGAAGGAAAGGGAAGCCTGTTTGCAGATGTTGGTCACCTAACAAATACTTCTCTGAGATGACCAAGATTCTGGTCCCAATTGTGATTGTATGTCAAGGCTTACTTGTAAATAATAAGAATTGGACATGTGTCTTGAGTCACAGTTTATACATCTCCAAAGAATAAGTATGTGATTGATATGGTCAGAGGAGCCACTACCTTTAGCAATCCTAGAAGCCATGACACCATTTTTCTGTGTACAAGAAAATCAGTCAACTCTCTATTTTGCCTTACACATCCCCACCCCCCCAAACTAGGCCATTTGTACATTAGAAATTGTGGAAGCAATCTTTCCACAGTTCACCCCCATTTGTCCCAAATGATGTTCCATAGTTCACCCCCATGTTTACCAACTGGTCAGAAGAAATACAATAGACAAAATAATTCAGACTCACCTGATATCTCGGGGAAGTTCTGGTAACCTCAGGTTTTTTTTAATTGCATAGTGGGATATTGCAAGTACAGCCATACCCAAACATTCATTTTCAATTTCATGTGATTCTGGATCATTCTTAGCTTCCCGAAGAGGTGCAAGACCTTTTACCAAGTCATTTTGACCCTAGATTAGACAGTGAGATAAATTGATTGTAAGCAATCAATGGTTATTTCACTTCATTCACTGAATACCCCCCAAAAATCAAAGCCTTCCATATAAAAGTCAATGAACATATTAAAATGCAGAAGAATATTGCTTTTTCCTCCTGCAAACATATAACATAAATTGAGATAGTGCCACAGAATAATACCTCAGTGTAAAAGTATTATGCAAGAGAGTTTTCAAAACAATGCATTTTTTATTTTTATCTTATTAAAGACTATGTCAGTGTTTCAGAAAAACTCAACTGCAGTTAAAAACTCTGAGACAGGCATTTTCTCAAAGTTCCTTTTTATTTGAGAAGTCATACTGGCACATCTGGGAAAACCCAAATCAGAGAGTTCCGGGTTTTCCCTCAGTAAATCAAAAACCCAAAGCCAGTCCCTGCACTCATCACTCCATCACATGGTCCAATCACAATCTGTCCCAACTCGAGACATCACTTCAACCACTCCTCCTCCAGGTGCAGGAATACCATTGACCAAAAGAAAAATGCTATTATGTCTAACTGCATTCCCTCTACTAAATCCTCCCTCCTAATTTCCCAAGCACAAGAATGTGGCAGCGTGGAAGCTTTCGGTGTTACTATGGCTTCCAAAGCTGACAGACTACTATTCTGTAAATATGCATTCATGATACTACTAACTAACCAATAGAAAAACAACACTGATGAATATCTGGGACAGCATTCACAATGTACTTCTTTTATAAATATTGATCTTCAATTAGAGTTTATACATATCTTTAAAAAAAAAAATCATAATCATCCATACTCCATCTGAGAGAAATATCAGTAACAGTGCTTCCTAAAGATAACGAAATATAACTACTACTACAATACTGAACATAAAATGAGACTGAATTCTTTTATAAAGTACTTGCCTGAGCAAAGAGATATTCTAATGAATTTGCATCAAGGAGAGGTGTTCCTTCTTGTACTGCTCTCTTTTCATAAGAATTCTTCCTCTTTGGAGAATGCCTCCAGACAGATGGCTCATTCTCATTTGTTCCATGCCAATTAGTAAAGTAAAACCTGGAGCAAATAATTATAAAGATTTAAATTAGGTACAATATGCATAAATGGACTTTATATAGCTAGATAACAAGAAACCAGAAATTCCAACAATTTTTCAAACACGTTATTGCTATTTTTTTTTTCAAATCTACTCAGTCATATCCACTAAGAATAGCAAGGCCAAGAACAACTAGTCCTTACAGGGCCCTTTCAAGCTTTCAAGCATTTTTGCCTAGTTAACAAAGTGAGGTACACAGCTTTTCTAACACAGGATTTCCCATTGGATACATGTGCTTCCCTGAGATAGTGCTGATCAGAGTAAAAGTCACACAAGGAATACCGGTACCACATTTTTGGAGTATAAGACGCACTGGAGTATAAGACACACCAAGACTTTGAAGAGGCAAATTAAAAAAAAAACTTTTTGCACTCTGCAGACCTCCCAAATACAGCCTGTTTTTCACGAGAAAGTGCCTGTTTTTTGTCCAAAAAAAAGGGCATGCATAGCCTTTAGGAGGCTTCTAGAGTGCTCCTGGGGGCTGGGGGGCAAAATGAGCAAAAAACA